AATTCTCTTTTTTGATCTGTCCTGATCACATTTGCCTGCTTAAATGTATGCAAAATGCAAAATTCGTGGCATCGTCATGTTGCTACTCAAGCTTGGATGCTTTCTGCATCACTGGCCGGGCTGCTCAGCTTCAGCTCGGACACGCTCGGATGTTTTTGCTCCGTGCCCTGGACCTGGACCTGGACGGCCTGTCACGGAGAAACCGCCCGGCTTGCGACAACGGGGAGGGCACGGAGCTGGGGAACCATGGCTGGCCAGGGGTAACACAACGGGAGAAGAAGAACGGGAAAGTGATGCAAAATGAGAAATGTCACTTTTATAGTTTGTAAACTAGAAAAAGTTGCTTTTGTAACATATTGAAATTGTAAAATTATGCATATTTGCTGAATACTTTGATATTTTTTGAAAAGTAATTTCTATCCATATTTTTTGTCCACAACCAATCTTAAAACATTCACTGGTTCATTTTCAAGGTATTGGAATGAAATTTAAAAGTTTTTTTTTCAAAATATTTTTTGTCAAAATATGTTCAAAAAACTAATTTCTATCCTTAAGTTATGTCCAAAATCAGGTTTAAAACATTCAGTGGATCATGCTCAAGGTATTGGAATGAAATTTAAAATATGTTTTTTTCGATTTTTTTTTGGTCGAAATTTGGTTCAAAAATGACATTTCTATCAAAAATACGTCGTGTCTAACCTTAAACCCTACATCCGTTAATAATCATAATGCACAATATGCACATAAGCACGCTATTTCCACACAACGGGGTGTTACAACGGGGGAGACACAACGGGAGAAGAACAACGGGGAAAATGATGCAAACTGCGAAATGTCCTTTTGCGAAAAACCGCCATGCCCAAAAATATGTTTTGCGAAAATCTGGTTTCCCCAAGGATGTGTTTGCGAAAATCCTGGATATCCAGGACCGTGGTTTGCGAAAGATCAGGGTCAGATCTTTCTCAAAAGATGTTTTTACCCATGTTTTGCGAAAAACCGCCATGCCCAAAAATATGTTTTGCGAAAATCTGGTTTCCCCAAGGATGTGTTTGCGAAAATCCTGGATATCCAGGACCGTGGTTTGCGAAAGATCAGGTCAGATCTTTCTCAAAAGATTTGCAATTGTTAAATTATTTGTTGCTACATGTGCGCATATATTGATAAATGAGGAAAACAACATTTTTTTGCGAAAAGTAGGTTTTCTCAAGCATGCCGGCCACAAGTCACTCAGATTAATCGCAAATGGCAGCTGGATAACATCTATGTTGAACCCCTTGTTTGCGAAGAACCAGGGCCTGGTTCTTCTCAAACAGGCTGCTGATACCTGGGGTGTTTTAAGCAAACCAGAGGCTTGCGCAAAGCAGTGCTAGGGAACAAGCAGTTGTTTGAGAAGAACCAGGCCCTGGTTCTTCGCAAACAAGGGGTTCAACATAGATGTTATCCAGCTGCCATTTTGCGAGCAATCTGAGCGACTTGTGGCCAGCATTTTTGAGAAAACAAGTTTTTCGCAAAAAAAAAAGGTGATTTCCTGTCATCATATATAATATAGCGACATCACATACACATACATTATGTATATATTTTAATATGACATACAAACATGGAACATCTTTTGAGAAAGACCTGACCCAGATCTTTCGCATACCAAGGTCCTGATTCCCCAAGATTTTCGCAAACACATTCTTGGGGAAGCAGGATTTTCGCAAAAAAGAATCCTGGACATGTTGTTTTTTCGCAAACTGTTCATGAAAAAAAACTATTCAGAGAGTGAAATTCAAATCCCACATTTCGCAAAAAAAATGTTGTTTTCCTCATTTATCAATATATGCGCACATGTAGCAACAAATAATTTAACAATTGCAAATCTTTTGAGAAAGATCTGACCCTGATCTTTCGCAAACCACGGTCCTGGATATCCAGGATTTTCGCAAACACATCCTTGGGGAAACCAGATTTTCGCAAAACATATTTTTGGGCATGGCGGTTTTTCGCAAAAGGACATTTCGCAGTTTGCATCATTTTCCCCGTTGTTCTTCTCCCGTTGTGTCTCCTGCGTTGTAACACCCCGTTGTGTGGAAATAGCGTGCTTATGTGCATATTCTGCATTATGATTATTAACGGATATAGGGTTTAAGGTTAGACACAACATATTTTTGATAGAAATGTTATTTTTGAACCAAATTTCGACCAAAAAATCGAAAAAATTATATTTAAAATTTCATTCCAATACCTTGAGCATGATCCACTGAATGTTTTAAACCTGATTTTGGACATAATTTAAGCATAGAAATTAGTTTTTTGAACATATTTTCACAAAAAAATATTTTGAAAAAAAAAAAAAACTTTTAAATTTCATTCCAATACCTTGAAAATGAACCAGTGAATATTTTAAGATTGGTTGTGGATAAAATATGGATAGAAATTATTTTTCAAAAAATATCAAAGTATTCAGCAAATATACATATTTTTATAATTTCAAAAAATTACAAAAACAACTTTTTCTAGTTTACAAATTATAAAAATAACATTTCTTATTTTGCATCACTTTCCCGTTCTTCTTCTCCCGTTGTGTTACCCCTGGCCAGCCATGGCTCCTCAGCTCCGTGCCCTCCCCGTTGTCGCAAGCCGGGCGGTTTCTCCGTAACAGGCCGTCCAGGTCCAGGTCCAGGGCACGGAGCAAAAACATCCGAGCGTGTCCGAGCTGAAGCTGAGCAGCCCGGCGATGCAGAAAGCATCCAAGCTCGAGTAGCAACATGACGATGCCACGAATTTTGTATTTTGCATACATTTGAGCAGGTAAATGTGATCAGGACAGATCAAAAAAAAGAATTCAAATTATAACATGCCCCATAATTAAGCAGACCTTTTGTCACTGATTTGTTTTTCCTGACAAATCCTTACTTGGATGATCTTGGGTGTGAGCGAGAAAAAGGACATGAGCGAGGCTTGCGCGAGATTCATCAGCTGGACCCAGTTTGGACCCTTGGGTCTTTTTGGACCCTTGAATGCAAAGCAAAATCTTTACTTGATGAGTTGTGTGATGATGTTTTAAAAAAAGCTAAAGAAGAATCATGTTACAGAGATACAATGACAAAAACACACAACAAAAACATGCACAGACGACCAACCGTCTGACGTGCACAAACGACCCACTTTTGACGTGCACAGACGAACCCCGAACCCCAACAGGACCCTGGAACAAACTGACAGACCACGCCTTGGCTCTATCGCCACAATGCAGCAGATTTCCCTGGCATCAGGCCTCTGCAAGAGCCGCAGTGAATCAACCCGAGGTCAAAAAACGATGAAGGCTGGCTACTGGCACCTGTAATAAGATCAAGGACCATCAAGCTATTAAACTTTAAACCACAGCAACAGTTCAAACATGTTCTAACTAAGCAACACTTGGTTGGCCTGAGTACTAGGCACATCTACAGGCACTTGGTTCGGTCCAAAACACTTCAATTCCTTACCTTCGAGTTTCGATTAACCGATAAACCAATCAAGTGGCAGGCGATTAGGGTATCCAAATCTGACTCCAGAAACACAAAAACCGCCATCTGCCACACTCAAAACCACACCCAGGCACCTTGGGAATCGCATCCACACGAGGTCACGAAAAGTTCAAGGAGTCATGGCTGTCTGTGAATTGCATCAAGTGCCTCATCCAAAGTGATTTGCATACTCTTGATTCATCAATGCTCAGCATCCGAAATGTTCAAAAGAAAATCATGTCTCAAAGTTTCAAAAGTTTCAATTTCTAGCAGTTTCTAGCCTTCAGAGATTGGTTCGTTTGGTTCGTTTGCTTCGGCAAAGCTTCGATCGGTTTTTCGAATGCAAGAAATCCGAAGTCCAAGGCGTCGAGAGCAGCTCACAGCCTGCGAGAAATTGCAGCAGGTTCTGCTCATGGTTGTTCTTAATGATAAACATAATGCATAAAAAATATTTAAAAAAAACACTGTGTTTCTTTGACCATCAAGTCAATATACTGAATGTCATTGTGAATTCACCAGTCACCCAAATCTTTCGAGAACATTACAGAACTGTTTGGACAGCATCCTTTTTTCCTGCGCATTCTTTGATACGACTCTTCAACGTTTTTTGCTGAAATCCCGGATCCTATCGAAAAAGCCAGCGCCACAGTGAACGGATTCGACCAGCAGCATGCACCTTGAGAAGCTCAGCTACAGCCATGTGACCACCTGCAGAAGCCCACATCAATGCTGTCGCACCGTTGTTATCTGCTGCCTGAACATCAGCACCACGCTCTAACAGCAGCTTCGCCACAGAAACATGGCCACCTTCAGCAGCAGCCATCAGTGCTGTGCTACCATCATTCCGTGCGGCCCTTACGTCAGCGCGGTGTTCCAACAGCAGCTCCACCACAGCCACATGGCCAGCATGAGAAGCACCCATGAGCGCTGTGACTCCACTGTTGTCTGCTGCCCTTGCATCAGCATGGTGCTCCAACAGCAACTCGGCCACAGCCCGGTGGTCATGATAGGCAGCTTCATGCAGTGCTGTGACACCTTCTTTGCTTGCTGCCGCTCCATCAGCACGATGCTCCAATAACAGCTGTGCTGTGGATGCATTTGATGCCTGCATCAGCAAACAGTTTAGCCAATCTTTCCGATCAGTTTCCTGCAAACTGCTGCAGATTTCCATCAGCTCCTCAGAACCGAACTGCGCTCCGTAAACGCAGCACTTTGCCGCCGCATCACGTTGGCCCCTGGCCAGCAGGAGCTGAAGCATCGTGGTGGACAGCAAGGACTTGATGTAGTTGTTGAAATCTGAGAACACACCTTCCAACAGTTTGGCTCCGTTGCGGTCCATGTAACTCTGGAAGAAGTGTTGGGCACCCAATCCATCTATCTTACCCCTGAAACATTTGTTGGCGGTTTCAGACCAGATCTGGTACTTGTCAGCCGCCACTGAACTTTGCGCCCTGGCGGCTGACACGTTCCACAACGCCTCACACGTGACTTCGAGCATTTCGGTGCTCACAGCTTGGTTTCCACATATCTCAGGTTGGAACTTTCGCTACAGATCAATTCGAAGGGTTGCTGCAAGTCCTTCAAACGAGAAATCTCAAACAAACACCACAGACGACTGAACGGCCGAATTTCCTCATCTAAAACCATCACTGCACCACCAGTTGCTTGTGCCAATGCCGCATTAAATGGCCCCTCCCGAGGATTTTCTCCAACCTCCTCAGCCACTTTGTGCTGATTCAAAGCAAATAGGCAGATCCAATAGACCAAAGACTCTTTCTCTGAAGTTATTCTGTGATAATTTGCCTTTGCCCATAAGTCCAGAGCCGTCACGGTGCTGCTAAAGTCATGGCCCCAGAAGTGGGACACGAAGCAGTGAACCATGAGGCCACATGGATTTACGAGCTCGGAGAAAGATGACATTCCACGTGCTTCCGCAATCGTTTGCAGCTTGTCGTTCTCACGGGCTTTGCAAGTCCCTGGCTTTGACATAGGAGTCACCACGAAGGCGTCCAAGGCATACAAGTTTGGGTTTTGCCTGAACTTGGTGCCGTTCGCAATGGCTTGGGCGTTCTCCGTGTTGAAGACTTCGCACTGTGCAGCTAACCACCCACTCTTGATGAACAAAGTTTCCAGGTGTTGCAGCTGACCCAATGCCATCCCCCGCAGGGAGTGCGGAACCGTTCCTCACTCAGCTGGAAATCAAAACACTGCTCAAAAGGCTCAAAAGTTGTTTTGGTCTTCACATTCCAAACAGCATCAAAAACGCAAGACTACCCAACACAGTCATCTTTCTGCATTGCAGATATCCCAAGAGCAACCTGAATCATCTCCATGGGCACCAATCTATCCTGGTGTAAATTCATGTTTTAACGCTCATCTTTACATCTTTCATCGGTTTTCATTCCAAACGCGAGTACTTCCAAAAGTGCTATAGCGTATCCAAACTCAGTGCCAATTACCTAGGAAAGATTGCAGCAAATCTACCACTAGCCGAACGTTGCATTCAGATGTTCAGACATTCTGCAAATATTCTGGGCACCTACCAACCTATCAAAACTTCGACTCAATTCATTCAAAGGCTCTGATCGAAGTGGTTCGCTGTTGAGAGGCCACCATTTCAGCAAAGCGTTCTTTGCTAATGCGCGGCTGCCCATCCATCAGAAGTTCGAGATCAACACTGCCATCGTCATCATTCTCTGCTGAGCTGCCACTGAAGGAGATGCCATAGACCCGCGCCGCTTGTTTCAACTCGTGCGGATCCAAATCTCCCGAGCCATCCAAGTCGCAACGGGTTGCCACGAACTGCGGATCTTGCAGCTTCTCCTTCAAGTCGGCGCTCACGGCCAGGAGCTCCGAATGCCACTTGGAACCCTCAGACGCATGGCACGAGACGTCAAGGCCTCCTTTGCGCTTCAGTGGTTTCCTGCCTCCCAAGGGAGCAGTCAGCAAGGTGGGAAGCCCATGGCCATGGAGCGGCTCCGACGCGGACGGCTTGCTGCAGCTGCAGCCCATCACAGTCAAAATAAAGTCCCGCACTTGTGGCGGTTAAAATCCGCTTAGCCAAAAGTGCCAAACACGCAGGACAATGGTGAGTTTTGCTTGCATCAATCAGGCCAACACTTGGCTAACGCATCAACTGGACATCAAGGCACGTAAAGCGCAAAGTTCAAATGAGTCACAACACACGAAAAACAAACAAAGTTCAAAACAGTCACAAAAATCTAATCTAAAGTTCTATGACACTGTCTTATGGAACTAAACTAAAACTAAACTGTTTTGAAACATGGCACTATTAACTGTTACATCTCACCATCGTTCGTTGACGACTGCATGGCCTTCTCTCAGCGCTCGGCGGAGTGCCTGGCAGCGACTCGAAAGAAGTCTGGTGCAAATCTGAAACGAGGAGAGAGAAGTCGTGGATTCAGAAGCGAAACGGCTTGGGTTTGATCCAACCATAGATCCAACATGATCCAACTAATATTCTATCACTATACATTCAGAAATACATTCCATATAATGTTGAGTCCTGATTAGTACCTAGGGTCGCTATTGTGGCAAATTTTTTCCAAATTATTCTGAAACTCATGTATTGTTTGGAGGGTTCGCTTTTGTGGCAAAACAAAATTGGGAGAGCCTTTTTTTTTTGCAAAAAAACTGTAATTGCTGAGAGGCATTTTTTCTCAAAAACGCTGTAGCTCAGTCAATTTTTTGCAAATCTCCCTATCTGAGCCTGTAAATGCATCTCTATCTGAGTAGGTTTGTTTGCTGGGTTCACTATTGCAGCAAGCTGTGCCAGAGCAGCCCCTGAAGAAGGGAAGCAAGCCATTTCCAAAATTGCCAAAGTCAAAGTGCAAGCCTTTCCCAAAAGAACCAATCCCTTATTAAACCCTTATTAAAGAACAGCTTTCCCACAATTTTCCAAGGCCCTAGACCAGTAGAGGCTCCATTTCATTTTAGTAGGTTTGTTTGCTGGGTTCACTATTGCAGCAAGCTGTGCCAGAGCAGCCCCTGAAGAAGGGAAGCAAGCCATTTCCAAAATTGCCAAATTCAAACTGCAAGCCTTTCCCAAAAGAACCAATCCCTTATTAAACCCTTATTAAAGAACAGCTTTCCCACAATTTTCCAAGGCCCTGGACCAGTAGAGGCCCTATTTCACTTTAGTAGGTTTGTTTGCTGGGTTCACTATTGCAGCAAGCTGTGCCAGAGCAGCCCCTGAAGAAGGGAAGCAAGCCATTTCCAAAATTGCCAAATTCAAACTCCAAGCCTTTCCCAAGAGAACCAATCCCTTATTAAACCCTTATTAAAGAACAGCTTTTCCACAATTTTCCAAGGCCCTGGACCAGTAGAGGCCCCATTTCACTTTAGTAGGTTTGTTTGCTGGGCTCACTATTGCAGCAAGCTGTGCCAGAGCAGCCCCTGCAGAAGGGAAGCAAGCCATTTCCAAAATTGCCAAATTCAAACTGCAAGCCTTTCCCAAAAGAACCAATCCCTTATTAAACCCGTATTAAAGAACAGCTTTTCCACAATTTTCCAAGGCCCTGGACCAGTAGAGGCCCCATTTCACTTTAGTAGGTTTGTTTGCTGGGTTCACTATTGCAGCAAGCTGTGCCAGAGCAGCCCCTGCAGAAGGGAAGCAAGCCATTTCCAAAATTGCCAAATTCAAACTGCAAGCCTTTCCCAAAAGAACCAATCCCGTATTAAACCCTTATTAAAGAACAGCTTTTCCACAATTTTCCAAGGCCGTGGACCAGTAGAGGCCCCATTTCACTTTAGTAGGTTTGTTTGCTGGGTTCACTATTGCAGCAAGCTGTGCCAGAGCAGCCCCTGGAAGCCCAGAAGGGAAGCAAGCCATTTCCAAAATTGCCAAATTCAAACTCCAAGCCTTTCCCAAGAGAACCAATCCCTTATTAAACCCTTATTAAAGAACAGCTTCTCCACAATTTTCCAAGGCCCTGGACCAGGAGAGGCCCCATTTCACTTTAGTAGGTTTGTTTGCTGGGTTCACTATTGCAGCAAGCTGTGCCAGAGCAGCCCCTGGAAGCCCAGAAGGGAAGCAAGCCTTTTCCAAAATTGCCAAATTCAAACTCCAAGCCTTTCCCAAAAGAACCAATCCCTTATTAAACCCTTATTAAAGAACAGCTTTTCTACAATTTTCCAAGGCCCTGGACCAGGAGAGGCTCCATTTCACTTTAGTAGGTTTGTTTGCTGGGTTCACTATTGCAGCAAGCTGGGCATGAGCTGGTTCAGTGCCTCTTGAGATTTAGCTGAGTATAAGCTAAACATGGGCTGAGCATGAGCTGAGCAGTGTGCTGAGGCATGACAAGTAGCTACTACAGTACTACATGTACTACAAGTACTACAAGTACTACAAGTACTACAAGTACTACAAGTACTACAAGTACTACAAGTACTACAAGTACTACAAGTACTACAAGTACTACAAGTACTACAAGTACTACAAGTACTACAAGTACTACAAGTACTACAAGTACTACAAGTACTACAAGTACTACAAGTACTACAAGTACTACAAGTACTACAAGTACTACAAGTACTACAAGTACTACAAGTACTACAAGTACTACAAGGCAAAAAAAACAATAGTAATTAGATTTCAATTGTAGCCAATTGAAATCCTTACTTAATTGAGGATATGTTTTTCTTTTGGGAAGAAAATTTTTGACTTTCTACTTTAAAGAGAGTCCAGAAATAGTTTAGGGGGGGGGGGCCACACACTAATCAGGACGCAACATTAACTATATCTGAATTTGGATCCGACTCTTCATCCAACTATTTATGGAATCTCACTGGGATCTTCCAGGAGTTGATGAAGCAAGGACCATCTCATGGGTATTTCCACCTGCCCAGGAACTTCCGAGATCGACCATGCAAACAATGGAACAGCGCTATAGCGGCGCTATATTCTACAATTTCTGGGGACCTCTTAGCTAAGTTGGTTGATAAGCAGGTGAAGTAGGGTTGAAAAGGTGGATATTTAGATTGTTTGGATTTGGATTATTTGGAAAGTAAAATCCATGATACTCGCCAGGCATCGCTGGAGTTGGCAGATCGACCCTTTGGAGAAATCGGTGAAAATTGGGACCACAACAAGTGGAACCACAATTGGAAGGATATTGTTGGAAGATGTTGGAAGGTGAACTTTCTTAGATTAATAAACATTCTAAGTGCTTGTTAATATTTACTCTTAGAAAATCAGACCAAACATGATTGAATTGCGAAATGATATGAAGTTATACCCTCTGGATATTTAACATAGCCATGGAAAATCACCATTTTTAATAGGTAAACGGTAAACCATCTACATGGGCCATCTATACCATGGCTTAATCAAACTTGTTGAGCGCAAAGGTGCCACCTTCCGCCATTTTTTTGGATGCACTGATCATGTCGTGCCAAAGCAACGCCCAAAAAAGGATTTAAAAAGGTAGAAGCTGTGAATTTCCTGCGAAGTCATGGTAGATGACTTTTCTGTTCTATCCTTTTTGGGCATTATTTATACCCTGAACTCGGGGCATGATCAATTCACTTGAAACAGACAAGGGCCAAAAGTTTCGCCCCAAAATCTTGTGCCAGTCCTTGGTGATTTTCTCCAGCTGGATTGAACTCCCCAATATCCCATCAGATCCCAATCCCCGCATATCCCATCGCGCCACTTGGGCGAAGGCCGAGGACAGCAGGCGACCCTGACCGCACCTGGCAGCTGGAGGATGAGAGAAATTGTGGAATGAATCCAAAAAGATGTGGAAAAAAGTGAGTTCAACACTCCAATTCCTGAATTAAGCATATCTAAACTAGAATGGTGGGCTCAAGACGTGAATCTTCTCCTGTCAAACAATAGCAGCGTGGCTCGCTTGAAGCAGGCATTTTGCCAGGCATAGAAGGAATTTGAATCCCAAAAAGGGAAAGTTGGCCCAGTGAACACCGCTCACCAACAGCGAGAAGTGCATTTCCATGCATTTCCATGAGTTCTTCACTTTGAGTGAAAAACAGGAATTGAAGACTTCCTCTTGAGGTCTCTTAGGAAGATTTAGGAAGTTAGTTCACGTACCTCGGCAAGAATGATTCTTACCCGTGAGCACTGCAGCGTGCACCGCAGCCTGAAACCTTTGGCTTCATCAAAGGGTGCACGTGATGAAAATCGCCAGCGAAAAGGTCATAACATGCCTGGCCTTGGAGTTGGTGATGCCTTGGCTGAGATCTGAGACATGCTGGCGATCCACTTGGAATACTGGTCATGAAGCCAGAGTACAGCGTCTTTATATTGATACATGATGATATATGATGATATATGATAATGTGTGTGTGTAAATCTATCTATATGATTCTATATGTATAGAGACAAATACAAAGATATTTCAGAGAGAGAGAGATTATATATCTCAACGTCTGACCTCAGCTATGGTTTCCCTTACAAACCCTTCGGACATCCACAAGTGCGATCAGAGACACCTTTAACGGATGGAGGAACTCGATCGTCGGAATTGTCACCATTGCCATCACTGCTAGGGCCCCTGTCGCTGTTGTCGCCATTGCCAAGTGCCTCATTCGTGTTCGCTTCTGTGTTCGCTTCCGTGGTGGTTGTGGTGGTTGTGGTGGTCGTGGTGGTTGTGGTGGTTGTGGTGGTTGTGGTGGTGCTTGTCGTGGTTGGAAGCTCTTTACAGACCTTCTGCGACATCTGTGATCTGTAGCTGGGGGTTTCAACAGGATCCACCAGTGTTGTCCCTCCATGACCCCAGAAGCTGGGAATCACAAAGCCGGAGAAACCACCATGCATCCCAGAACCAGCATAAAGACTCTGGCCACAACTACTACTGGTAGGAGCTGTCTGAAGCAAACACAAGGAACTTATATTTCGGACTGGTGACTTAGGACTTAGGCCACCATAGTGACATAGGATTTTGTGCACCAAGTCCTAAGTCACTGGTGTTCTTATCAGGTGATTTGTGTGCACCAAGTCCTAAGTCACTGGGGTTGTGATTGGATTCAAGCAC